CACCTGGCGACGTAGCGTAAACTCTGCGAGCTGACGCTTGAGACGCCAATAAAAGAACCTGCGCGAGTTTGACCAGGGGACAACTTGGCGGATGCAGCCCACCGCCTTCATACGGCCAGGTGTGTCATGAAGATCACCAAATTCTGTTGCCACCTGTACGTAAATTGGCAGGAGAGTATCTTCACGGGCCTTTATCTCGGCTGAGATCTTGGCACCTTCAACCCCCTTCTCGTCCGGCGACAGGTCGGCAAGACGAGCTTTCAGCTGCTTTAGCTTGTCGTCGAGACGATGCATTGTCTGCAATAGCTGCATCTTGCGGTATTTGATCTCGATCAAACCAGCTGGCTCCAGCACGCCACCTCGGCCCTGAGGATCAGCATACATTTCCATGATGCCTTCGTTGATGGTAGGATCAACCACGGCCCAGGCGCCACCACGTAGTTCAGCAAATGGTGGGATGTAGACAAAAACAGGTTGTTCATAGTTGACCAAACCATCTACAATGGCTGCACCAAACTTAAGCACCTCATCAAACATGTCGCGCTGGCCACCTGAGAAACCACGCCAGTTGGCTAAAATAAGCAACGGCAAGTCCTCGGCTTTAAAGTCTTTAATAGCCGTCGCAGTCTTATGAGCAGAGTCCGGAAACCACACCTGACCAGCCTGTTGCATCAGATTTTCCTGCGATGCCGGTGACGCTGGATCAGCAGGAATAATCTTTTCAGACGTTCGGACTTCCGTGACTACCACACCGCAAGGAATGCCACCAAGGCGACCGCGTCCGACTATTACGCTCTTGGCCCAACCATCTAGCGTCTCACGGAACGAATCCTTGTCGAGAAGACCCGAGATCCAATTTCCCGTCGTCTCGTCGCTTTTGCCTGCAAGTAATGCCCGCGGGTCGTACTGCGTGCTCTTATCTTTAGGATAAAAGTCCACCGAACGCTCGATTTCGTCCACACCCGTCACATCGCGAATCGGGAGAGGACCGCGACGGACCGCTGGCACAAAACTTAGCCACTCGAGGATAGAGAAGATGCCAGAAAGATGATTCTTTGCAGTCAAGTGCGTGACGCCATTTGTGTGCATAATCTTCACACCACCAAGCTGGTCATTTGACGTGTACACTTCCTTACCCATGAGCTTGTTCAGCGCCTGATACCCCGTCAATATAATTGGGGAATGCGTGGCGTTCTGTACGGTTCGCTGACCGAGGCGGACCAGGTACGCGCCGATACCGACACTGCGGCCACATGCGTACGTGAGCGTAAATACATCCTGGTAAGCGCGTGATGTTTCACCGGCAATGGTTCCACTGCCGCGCAAACACTCGACACCGAGATCGATCTCACGTCCAACAATATCCTTGAGCACATAGCGCTCCTCACCCAAACTAGTGACTAGACGCTCTGCACGAACAGAACCCTCAGCCGAAGCTACCTTGTAATCTTCGGGTGAGAGATACAGATATTCGAAACCCTTGGTCGGGTTACTTTCGTCTTTCCAGCAAATTTTGTACTGAGCCTTGATCGACTCAGCCATGCCGATACGAGCACCTGCGTTTGCCGAGAAGAAAAGGCGAGGAATGCCCTTTGAGCGAGCAAGCTTGGAAGCTAAGTCAAACAGTGTGTCCTCACGAGTACCGAATGATCCAGCCTTGAATGTGATGTCATTGGCAATGATGACAATCTCGCGTCCGTCTGGGAACTCAGGAGTGTAAAGCGTCAGCAGCCATGCCACCATACCGATGTCATTCTGGCCTCGCGGACGTGTAGTAAACGTCAGCGCTTTACCCGTCGCGTCAAAGATGAGCTCGCGGGTCTCCATCAACAAATTGGGGATATTTACCTTTGAGCCACCACCGCGCGTACGCTGCTGCACGTACTTACGCCATTGGCGCAGCAAATTGTACTCGATTAGCTCTAGAAAGTCGTACACGTATACAGTGTTCGACAATGCCTTGGCCATCTGACGCTTCTTGTCAAACGGGAAGACCACAGCGTATGGCGTCGAAATTGGCATGCCATCAAGCTCGCCATGTGTCTCGTCGCCGATGGACGTGAAAATTGGCTCATCGTGACCAGCAGCTTCCACATAAGCTTGTACACGCACAACATATCCAGTCGGATTCTCAGCCACAAGACGAACAGGAATCGCTGGAGCCTCGCTGTTAAAGCGTGCGATAATCTTAAGCTCAACCGTCGACACACCCAGTTGTTCCAAACGCTCAGCGTAACGGTATGCAAGAATGCGAATTACGCCTTCTAAGTACTGTGGGTCCACGATAGCTTGAGGTAATATATTCAGGAACACGTGGTTGTTCTTGGTCGGCAGCGACGACTTTTTGACCAGAGGGTTCGACAAGTTCAGCTCCAATGCATTAAGAGCGTCGACAAGCGAGCGCTCAGGGCCCGGGTAAGCATCGTACTGTGAGCGAAAACTACTGCCATCGTGATCAAGCTGGCGCACCACCGCACGAACAAAGATACGCTGAAAACGGTCGGTCACAATGTGTGAGTCTGACTCTTTCATTTTAGCCAAGTATAGATGCATATTCTTGTTCTCTGACGTCAACGGCATCACGCTGTAATTCTGTAGACGACGTAGTTCGAGCTTGTAGGCGAGCGGAGCTTCCATGTGACGCAAGATTCTGTCCTCACTGTAATCCAAACGAGCGGGGAATGTGTAAATGTTCGGGTACAATGCCATGTCAGCGTTGTGCAACGAAACTGTCTCGATATTTTGCGGACGCACGGAAAAAGTGACACGACGAATGTTGTGAGCGCGCAAATCCTCGTCGACCGATTTGAGAAAAGTTTCACTTTGCTCTAAGAACTTCATCTCTTCCATGTGCTCGTCTACCAAAATGATATGAAGGACATTAACTAGAGGATCTTTGCGCACCGAAAGAGTCTTTTTCGCCAACGGGAACAGTGTCATGACATCATTAAATGATTTTTGAAAGACTTCAAGACTCGCGAGGCGCATGATGGCACCATGACGCTCAAAAGTAGGAGAAATTTTCTGATAGCTCTCGGTTGATTTGGCAAGCGGTTTCTCGACTGGCCCAAGCTCTTCACTGCTTTCATCCGAGTTATGTTCAACCAAATCCAGTGAGCTGGCCGAACTGTTACGGCGCAATAGGCTCGCAAGATCGTCATAGCTTTCGGCAGGTGCAACACCGACCGCCAAAGCATCAACAACCGGAGACTTGAATTGAAAAGTTTTGGCAAAAATGTCGTTAAAACTAATAGTCTCCATAGACTCAATCAGGTACGAACGGTAAACACGCTGAATGTACAGCTCAAGAGACAATTCACGAATCTGCTGATCTTCATGGTCGAGAAGCGAAATGAGTAGGTCAAACAGCGGCTGTGACTGGTCCAGTAAGCTCGCACAGGCATCGGCAAGATTCGTAGACGGCTTATTCGCAATATAATCCTTAAGAACCTTTTCCACTTGACTGAGTCGGTCGCGATACGACGGCATCTTATTGTCGATCAACAGCTGGCGCGCTTCGAGCGCCACAAGTGAGTATTGATTATCTTTAAACGTTGCAAGTTTTTCAAGCACAGGCACAAATGCAGCAGCTTTTAGTGACTTACGAGGAGTCACAGCTGTGCCTCGCGCCATCTGCGCCAGTAATTGCAGCAGCAGCTTATTTTTAGACTCGAGTGCCTTGTGTGCGCGAGCAATTGCGAAGACCTTGTTTAAATCCGAAGAGTGCTGTTGACGCAGAGCCATCACGACATCCTCAACATTATGCGAGTTTGCATAGACTGTCTCGACCATAAAGTATTCGTCGATGAGCTCTGTTAGAACAGATTCTTCTCCCGATAGCAGTCCATGCTTGTACTTAGCAGCAATGCCGCGAAGTGTTGCGACTGAAGTTTCGAAGTCTGACCGCTTACGATCTGTGTCAAGCGTCTTTTTGTACTCGTCTAGGATCTCAACAACCTCAGCAATATTGAAGTCGTGAGAAGCGTTTGGTTCCTCAACTACGGCTTTTTCAAATGTTTGAATTTTGTCGGTGATTCGAGCAAATACGTCGAGTGGAATGCGGCCAGCCAATGAAGACATCGCTTCCTTAATCTCCTCAACGGGAAGTAGAGGCTCATATAGTACTTGAAATAGATCGATTAGCGCTGTTTGTGCGAGGTCGTCTGGGACAAAGTAGCCCTGTAGTATGCTCTTGAGAACAGCGAGTGACTTGCGCAGTTTGTGTACCGACTTTGTGCCATCTCCATTATTATTATCCGGCGAAGGCAGCTTCCCTATAAAGACGTCCGACTTTTTTACGCAAGACGGATCATCGAGTTCCATGGTAGCAATGCAGTCGCCAGGTGCCAGAATAGCACCTTCTGACTTTAATAGGCGGATCACACCAGCCTCTGGTGTAAGCAGTGGCATGTACATCTTCATGACTTCAATTTCAGCATATGGCATGCCGCGACGTAAGCTGGCACCGTCGTCCACCAGATAACGGGCTAATTTACCTGCTGTGTTGGTCACGAGACGCGTGGGATCGTACTCTTTCGTAAAGACGCACGTATGGCTATCAACAACCAGACGCAGACCCTGTGCTTCTTTGGTAGCGTACGCAACGTGAGATTTACCATTTAACAGAACAAGAAATCCACCATCCGACAACATTCTGATCTCCACTTGCACGTATGAGTCGTTGCAAAAGAGTGTAAACTGAATTGGACCGCTGCGACATGCCTTTATGTTGTATTTAATTCCTTCGTAAATAAGCTCGAGTGATTCCACTTGGGACAGCAATTGGCTGTGAGGAAGCTGACCTCGCTCGATCTGACTTACATACTCCTCCTCTAGAGCATTGGACGCTTGGTAAGCACAGCACACAGCCCCAACTAAGACCACCATTAAAGGATCCGGACGGCCTTGAAGACGCACTTCGTGATGGTGCGAGATACGTTCGTCTAGCCACGACGTGGAGATGCGATTATACTTAAAATCATCAGATTCCATCATGTTGACTATGTACTCGACCGTCGTGTGGATGTCACCACGAATCGACAACTCTTTTAGCGCCAGAATCATATTCTTCCTAGCCTTTTCACGAGTTGTACTCCACGAGAACAAATGTCCAATTTGAGAGTCTGCGAATTCGTGCACTAGGCCTGATGAATCTACAGAAAAGTAACCCCACACATCAGGCGTACTACGAAAGTTCAATTCTTGAATAGCACCACTAGTAGGTTGAAAACCGGCGTTTGGGTCCTCAGCGGTAATGCGCGCAGCAATCACGTGTCCATGTGGTGGCTTTTGCTTCTCTGTATCAAAGTCAATATACGTCGTCTCAAATGCTGCCTTATTATAAAGACGACGAACGTCCGGTATACAGTGCAGTGGGATACCCATAGCCACTTGCAGCTGCGCAGCTGGTAAATTCACGTGTGTGATCATCTCTGTAACAGGGTGTTCCACCTGTAGACGTGGATTTAGTTCGAGAAAGAAGAATGCGTTACCATTGTCCTCTGGTAGCTCACTAAAAAGATATTCAACAGTACCAGCATTGATATATTCTACCTCTTTCGCGAGACGTGTGGCCGCACGCATCATCTTTTCCCACACTTCTTCAGTAGGTGCAAGTACAGGTCCTTCCTCAACAATCTTTTGATGACGGCGTTGCACGGAGCAGTCCCGACCGCTTAGTGCAATAGCATTCCCGTAGCTATCTGCCAGTAATTGCACTTCTAAGTGTCGCGATTTTGGTGCGAGCTTCATGACGAAAATGGGAGAGCCAGGAATTTCACCACGCACTGCTTCCCACGCACTAAACACCTGAGACTCTTCATGAACCATACGGATACCTTTGCCACCGCCACCTTCACTAGCTTTAATCATTACAGGAAATCCAATTCGCTTGCATTCGTCAAGACAGTGCTGACCATCACGTAGCATGGCTGCATTATAAATCTCTTCCGGAATTCCGTCGTGTTTCTTGTAGTCAATTTCCATTCCGTCGCCGTTCCAGGCAATTGTCGGCACTTTAGCGCTCTGTGCAATAATAGTTGATCCAATCTTGTCACCTAATGCACGCATTGGTTTTCCTGGAGGCCCAATGAAGACAATCTTTCGCTCAGTTTGGGCAAGCGTGTCAGGTAGCAACGGATTCTCCGATGCGTGGCCCCAGCCAGCCCACACGGCATCAACATTAAAGCGTTCAGCAATTTCAATAATAAGTGATACGTTTGCATAATTGTGATTATTTGATCCTCCAGGTACTTCCACGACATGCTCAGCCATGCGAATGTATTCAGCATTAGCCTTCAGATCTTCAGGTGTGGCCATAACAACGAACGTCACAACATGTTCATCGGCAAACATTTCATAGCTCCAACTACGAATACTACGAATGGCTTTCACAGCTGAGATACCATTATTAGCTATAAGCACAGACGTGATCGGACGCGTGCCTTTCTGTAGACGCACGTACTGTTCCATGCTTGAGTATGTTAGTGGATTGGTGTCACTACGCGTCTCTGCGTCGATCACGACGTCAGCACCAAGTGGCACTTCTTGAGCTACCATATCTTGTGTATTGGGTGAAGTTCTCCCTGCAGCTCCTGTTGTAAAATGGATTGTCATGGCGTTGGAAGGTTAGATGAGGTGATTCGTTCTTGGTGGCCACGCTAATCAAAACCCCGAAAAAAGTTGCGCAATGAGCACAATGGTATGATAATGTTGCAGATATGTTGCACTTGCTTTGAATACGTCGACTCAAGCAACTTGAATAAAACCTCGACGTCACTGTGCGGTGTTGATATGGTGGGGTTAGGCAATGACGTCGCCCAAGCTGACGTCACAATTTCCATATTATTGTATACGTCGCTAATTCGTTGAAGGCAATTGCGCATGACGTAGCCACCAAATAATAAAAACATTTTTCAAAAGAATATTTATTTCTATTTAAGAAGATTATTTATCATATGGTGACGAATTTATCAACATAAACTGATATTAAAGGACTCATATATTTTAGCTATAAGATATTACTAACAGCAATTTCATATAGGGCACAGCAACACACTCACTACGTGCGGCGCTTTTTCAGTGGAGCCTTGCGGGGTGCCTTCTTTGCTGGAATAACAGGAGCCTTACGTTTAGCACTACCGCGCGACTTGTTTTGAAACTTGCTTACGTCAACATCCTCCTCCTCTGGTTCACTTTCAGCATCTGACGGTGGTGGCAAACCATTTTCCTCATTTTTACTATCAGATGCTTTTCCTCGTCCTTTTTTAATAGTAGTCGACCCAAGAACCGACTCAACTACAGCTTGCGACTTGTGTGATGCCTTATTGTACCTGCAGGTTAAGTGAGTGAATCAATTCATTCTTTTGTAGGAATCACGACCATCGTACATTCGCGTGAACGCTGTCTTTGCTTTAGTGTCGAGTTCTGTGTACGAATAGCGCTTGATACCAGGAAATTTGAAGCTTTCCATCGATTCTGTTAAGTCTTCTCTTGAAATCTCACACTCATCGAGCAGTTCAATCACAGCATGAATATTCTTCATCAAAATTTAACACAGGAGTGAGCATCCCAACAAATTCGATTCCTTAGATAACCTACATTCTCTCCTGTTAATAGCAATTTCAGCAATATCTCCTTCATATATGGCACATAGTCAAGTCGAATGACTGGTATACAAACATATATGCTTTGAAATATCAATTTGAGTTAAACAATATTCAAACAAACACGACCGACCTTCTCGAGAACCGGAAGCATGCGATCGCATTCGAACGGATAGTTCGCTTAGCAATCGCTTTGACTTTGACGCCGAGGAATTCTTTCCTAGCCACCTATAGGCAATAATAAGACAAGTCGTTAGCATCATGAAGATACCCCAAAAAGCTTACAAAGCATGAACCTAGAGAACTCTGGATGACCGATAAATCCAGCCGAATATACACAAGCGCCAATGTTCATGGCTGCCTGTTTTGTAAGTAGATCCCATCGCTGATCCACTCGCACATACGTGTTTATAAGATCACTGTCCGAGATAAACTCAGACGCATACATTGCCGCTTGCAAATTTTCGTCCACCGACCTCCGATTGTTCATAATACTTTGTATGTAATTCTCCTGAATCATTAGCGGCATCAAGTCATAGTCGACAAAATACGCTTCATTTCTTGCGTCAAATGAAAGCTCACGCTGAAATATTTGCTGGGTAGCGCTAAACGGATTCAGTCTCAAACTTTCGTCCTTGTTGTGCTGTGATGCTGGATTTACCATATCCGCATAAGTGATTTTGGTCGTAATCAGTCGCCATCTTTGCATCTGGGTGAGTAATTGTCGAATGTCGTTACCACATCGGTCAGCAGCTTCTTCAATTGCATTCTTTTCTACATGCAGACCTTCATTGATGCCAATCTCTATCAGTCGCTTGCTAATTTGAACTTTCGTAGGACGACGCATTCGCAAATCAAATGCATGATTGGCCAACGAACGTACTTTTGGGCTCTGACGATCATTGCAAATACATATGATCGGAGTCTTTGACTTTTTGATCAGCTGAATTAATTCTGCTGTACCTCCACGATCACCGCCTGACATTCCATCGACCTCATCCATGATGATGACACGACGAGCAAGATGCATTTTATCCTTGGACTTTCCGAGAGGACTGCCAAATTGAAGTGCTTGTGTTCCTAGCACATCTTTGAGATCAGATTGTAGCATTTTCTTGCTACGAGTGTCACTTGCATTCATTTCTGTACACTCAAATCCGCACTCTCGAGCGACAAGATTCGCAATCGTTGTCTTGCCAATACCTGGAGGTCCCGACAGTAACACAGTCATGGCTCCTCGATTTTCTGTTAGTTTTGTTGTGTAGGGAACTTTTTTGTTTTTTTTCACATGCATTGCCTCCCAATCTAAAAGCCACGTTTTTAGCTTTTTTCCAAGCTCAATATTGCCAATCATGTCATTCAGACTCTTCGGCTTGTACTTGTCTGTCCATAGCTCATTGGCAGCCAATCTACCTTACAGATTAGACAGAAATAATAATAGAACAATTTTAGATGACACGTACGTGCTTAGCTTTTGCTTGCCTTTTGCAAACGATGTCTTTGTACGATCAGCTTCGGCTTTAGTCTTCATCTTTTCGTTTGCCAAATCTTGAGCCTGTTGTGCTGCTGCAGCCTCCGTAATAAGATTGTAAAACTCATTTTGAGTCAGAATTCGAACATTCTTTGCCACTGCTTCCTTGTACTTGGAGCTATCTATTATCTCACCACCCTGCTCCAGCGTCATTCCAATCACCAAATACTTTGTACTACGCGTAATGTTATTCGAAACTGACCCACCACAACACTTGACCAGATGTATCGCATCCTCGCGCGATAGATTCTCAAGTACACCGGAAAATGCAAATGTCTTGGCATTCAAACATCCCGAGCATGGCGCTGGGACTTTTCTTAGTGCACCTTCCTGCTTCACAATCGCTTGTATTGAGTTGTCAGCATCTAATTTACTTAAAGATGAAGCTTCAGACTTCGTGCTTAATTTTGTCTTCACCTCCTTTTCCAGCATTACTTTCTCCTTGTCGAAATTTAAACGGTGAGTTTTCGTCAATCGATCTTTCTTTGGATTGACCTCTTGCACTTCGTCATCACTGCATTCCATCTCAAAATCTGAATCCGAGTTCGCGCGTTCTGTCTTCTTCTTACTCGTAGCTTTCGACTTGCTAGTATCTTCGTCCTCATCACTGTCATCGATTATCACTATATTCTTCTTAGCAGCACGGCGAGTCGAATGACGCGATGGAGGGGTTGGCTCCGGTTCCACACGCTTTGCTGCACCAGTCAATCATAGTATTTAGTTTCATAACCAATTTTAGAAAAGGAAGGCACTACAACAGCGTACACTTTAATGGTGTTGTTGTTTTCTTTCTTTTACTAATCGTTTTCTCGTTATTTCTTGAAGCATCTTCCTGGAAGAATGATCGGATGTCCATCGGCGCCGATCCAAGCGTTTAAATTCGTGTCTTCGACTTTCCCGCTTATATTATGTGGTACACTTAAACGTTGAGCATCTTTAGCCAATGAAATGTTGTGTATATCTCAATGCACCTATGGAGCTCTCCCCGTCGACGCTCAAGTACGCAAGTCTGTGCGTGCTATGCGTGCAAAATAGTCTCCTTGCCATTTTGATGAGGCTGTCAAGAGTTGGTAATTTTCCACGTTTCAATACATCAACTGCCGTCTTTGTGGGCGAAGCACTAAAGCTGATCACGTGCTTTGCGGTGCTATTCTATGTAAATATTGTTTACTTTCTTCGTGTTCAATTTGACTCATTTCAATGCTTTTCAGGAGATTTATGGACTGAAGAGTTCGGTACGACAAAAGCGTATAAATGAATATATTCAAAATATTGTCAATCCAAGTGAGTTGCTACGTGTGAGCGTGCCTGCTTTGCTCTATGTAGTGCAGAACAACTTGCAGTATGTGGCAGTGTCAAATCTGGATGCACCTACGTTTCAAATCATGTATCAACTGAAGATTCTTACCACTGCTATCTTCTCAGTCGTGATGCTACGAAAGTCTGTGCTAATCACGCAATGGGGAGCAATTATTTCGCTTATGATAGGCGTGGCATTGGTGCAATTGGATGACAATTTCTCAAATGCAGTTTCAAAGACAAAAGAAGACGTGAGTCAAAGTACTACCACAGGACTGATGGCTGTGGTTGCTGCATGTGTGTGTTCTGGTTTCGCTGGTGTGTACTTTGAAAAAATTCTCAAAGGCTCCGGCACAAAGACTTCGCTTTGGGAGCGTAATATTCAGATGTGCTTTCTTGGGCTAGCACTCTCTGGTGGTGGTCTAGTATATAACGATTTTGAGTCAATCTCGACTATTGGGTTCTTCTATGGATATCGTCCGGCTGTGTGGGCGGCCATTGCCATGAGTGCGTTCGGTGGTCTTTTGACGGCTGTTGTCGTAAAATATGCCGACAATATTCTTAAAGCCTTTGCCACATCCATTGCAGTGATAATGTCGGTCATTTTGTCGGTATTTGTGTTCGACAAAGTACCCACGAGTCAATTTGTTGTGGGTGCCATTCTCGTTAATGGCTCGGTTTACGTTTACGGCAAGGCCCCCGAATGGCATAAAGATTGCCTTGATCCACTTTTACCTGTCATAAAAGGCAACTAGTCGAAAGCAATTTAATACGTTTCATAGTTTTAATTGTATTAACAATCCCGTAGCGTAACGTAGGTCTAGTTGGCCATGACGAACTCGATCAAACAATGAACAAACTTGCACTTCCTTTCTCGCAATAATTCATATATAAATCATGGATTTATGAAGCTTTGAATGGCGCTTGACACTTGCAGTGGTAATTACGCAATGTCCTTAGTATCAACCTGACGCCATCGTCTGCGTCGAATTCGTTCGCTTGTAATGTGACCTTCACAACATGTGCCAACTTAGCTACGATGCATCGTGCTACCCGATGCTGAAAGAGTAGGCAGCGCGCGGATTTCATTCGTTAAAAGACGGCACGTATTTCAATGACTGCTTCATTCATCATCTATTGAAAATGAGAGAAGCTTTTTATTGCTCAAAGTTGGTTGATCTCCCCGTTTTCGTTTGTTGGATTTAGTTCTATTGGTAGCTTTAGCTTTGCCCAGTTGAACGATAGTCTGTCCATTCCTCTTCCTCAAGTCGTCATTATTCTCTTCTACTCCAATGCAAGCTTTTTCCAAGTTTTTGTCATCCTTTTTCTTCTTTTCTGTTAAATATTCGTCGATTGCTGCCTGCTGCACCTCATCAAGTCCTTCGTCCTCGCCTCCAGGCTCGGGTAATGTTGTAAACTTAGCTTCAATTGCTGGCGGCTGATGATATTTCTGTAAAAATTTCGGAATCACGCGTGTGAATTGTGGTCCTTTTCCTTTACGAGTATTCTGCTTGCTGCCACGGGCATTTAGTCCCCGTAGACTGCCATCCTCGCGCCAGTCGTCGTCCATTATAAATAATTGAAATCTTTTTTATTGTAGTCACAAAATTAAAAGATTATTTGAAGTTTGCTTTTAGCCTATTATTGAGGGCAAGACTTGACGATGCAATTGACAGGATTGAACGGATACATGTGGGGGCAACGGTGGAATATTCTGCTCACTACTCAGGCCATTTTTACGTTGGGCGTCCTTTATAATCGCTACAAAGAGAATCAAGCTGTGTCACCCGCTGTCACGTCGCAACGACCGATTCGTGAAGGTGTGGAAAACCAATAAATGACAATCTCATAACTTCGAAGTGAACGTGTGATGTAGAGAAATGTAGATGCATTGCGATCTCATTCATTACAAGTACGCAATAGATTGTATCCTTGACCATGAAGAGAGTTACGACATCGATATCCCATAAAATTTTAACTACTTAACTATACACTGCTAATTTTACAAAAATGTAGGAATTATAACGACAGTTTCTAGCAAAGGACAAAACGAGCATGAGTGTTGATGATGATGCCATTGTCAAGTAAGCTATGCCTCTGGTGAAGATAATGCGCATGTTGCAGGATCCATAATAAGTAGTCACATCATGCTCTATGCAATATTTTGACCCATGTAATGCTCATTTGTTATATCTGAACAAGTAATAGCCATCATTATTCGGAATCCATAGTTGGCAGCTAGCTTTTCAAGCTAACAAAAAGCTAAGCTATTTACTGTTAGCTTAGCTTAGCTTTTTGCTTGTTAGCTTAGCTCAGCTTAGCCTGAAAATGGTCAAGCTACCAAGCTACTGAGCAAGCTACTAGCTTAAATAGCTTTAATGCTATTTATAGATTTATAAAATTACAGGGGTCGAATATAAATTTCTGTTTTTTTTAATTCAGCCACCCTTAAAATTATTT